CTACAGCCGCCCCTCCCACTCTGTCACAGCCTGAGATCACTTAGGCCACGTTGCACACTCCTTTTCCTCCTCACAAGGCCACTCCTACCTTCCCAGTGACCCCAGCTCAAAGGTTTCGCAAGGACACATCAGCTGTCTCTGCCGCTCACTGTGGTTCTGAGCACTTCCATTGGTCGTTTTCACAGTCTGTGTCTTTTTAAATCCATAGTTCCAGACTGACAAAATGCTGCCAGCTAGCATTTCTTCCTTCCTGCACTACTATCTAAGAGATGCCGCCCCCACCCCCAGGGGGAAGAACGTCAGATGAAGGGGTCCTGATGGACACAGTGAGTTTAAATGCAAATGTTAACCCGAGCGTGGGTAAAATGGGATAGAGTGAGTAGATAAAAGGTCAGATTACCCACATCTTGACCTGGCCGTGTACTTGGAGACAAATGACTCAGCTTCCTCACTAAACCCCCAGGGGGTGTCATTGATTTCTAAGGTGCTAGTTCAGCTTATCAGATATCATGGGATGTTCCCCTCCCTCCCACATTTTGCTTGGGAAGTGTACCGGTCCTGTGCATGTCAGTCCAGGTCACCAGCCTGCTTGTTAACAGTTTTAGTCACCAGGGAATTGCAAGAATCTTTAGCCTAACATGTGGTTGTGTGAAGGAAGGAATAGAAAGGAAGAGGAGGAAGTGATGTCAATATCTTTAATACCATTGACTGCTGGGTGCCCTGGATGCTTTCTCGACTGCTCTTCTCCAGGATCCTGAAGTACCGTGGACACACGATGTAGGATTCGGTTAGTGCTTGTGAACGAGATTGGCGTTCTTTCTGCAAAGGGTGGTGATGTTTTCTTGTCTTGTCATTCTGTAGACAGCACACATGGCAGATGGAGTTTCCATCTTTGCAATTGTTGCCCAAATGTTTGGGGTCAAAATTTTGTCACACTTGTAGCAAACTCTTTGTCGTGGCTATTCTTGGTTGTCAGTTTGACTATATCTGGAATGAAGTGCGATCCCTAAATGGAGGTCACACTTGCGTTCTTCAGGCCGGATGACACATCTAGGGGTGGGAAGACACACCTTTAATCTGGCCACACCTTCTGCTGGGAGTCTATATAAAGGCATGGAGGAAGGAAGGGCTCCCGTTCTCTCATTCTTGGCCTGCTTGCTCTCTCGCCTGTCAGCACATCCATTCCTCACTGGCATTGGAGCCTACCTTCAGTATTCCAGAATATACAGGAGACCAGCTGAGACACCCAGCCTTGTGGGACTGAGCAGCTACTAGATTCTTGGACTTCCCATTCCAGCCACAGCTAGCCATTGTTGGACTGCAGCCTGTAAGTCATTCCAACGAATTTCCATATATATGCACACACATACACACCACACACACGCAACCACACATATACACTCATGGGAATTTGCACATTCTTAGTGAATAACTGACTTTATGTTTCTGACCCTATGGAAATATATGGATATTTATTTTTGTCACACTTCTAGTAAACTAGAGAGGTGGGGAGAGACTCATTCCATAAGTTCTGTGACTCCAGAGACCCCTGACTAATGCACTCATTTTCAAACTGAGTAAGATTAGTGACTACTACTGGCCGCTCGCCATGCTCTAGGGGCTAAACAGCATGTGTGCAATCCTTGCTCCTAACAATTCTAGTGGACTGAATTCCACTTTTATCTCCTTTTTAAAGATCTTGCAGTAATTAACTGAGCTGATTCAGAGCTTTTGTGGGTGGTGTGATACCTACACTCCAAACAGGGATGGATGTAATAGATAAACAGACAAGAAAGCCACCATAAAGTGAGCTTTTGTGTATAAAAGCCAGCTATGGTTCTCCTGATCTGGTCTGCTGGAGGGACACAGACCGGAATGTGACTGCCCTTGGGACACTGTGCTGCATCTGCAGAGCTGGGAACATCACCTGAGTGCTGGCTCTCCAGGTATGGCTGTGGTCCTCACTGCTGCCCACAGTGTGACCCTTCCAACCTGGTGCTCCACCTCACACTGGCACAGCCAGGTGCTCTGGTACCCGCAGTGCCATGCTGTCAGCTGGCACACCAGAGACCCGTGCCGTGCCCACACGAAGTGCTACATCTGCTGCACTGATTTGATTCCTTCTCTGTTCCGGGAGCCACAGCTCCCATTTCACCTTCCCCGGTTTTTCCAAGTGATTCTCTGCCCCTCAGTCTGGACCATCACAGCATAGCTTTGAGTTCTCATTTCCATCGGACCCACACAGAAATCTCAACTTTTTTTTTTTGTTTTCTGCTCTGCAAAAATGAATGGCTTCCCCCACAGGCCTTTCTGTATTTTACTAGACAGCTGGTGAGTAAGAGTGTGTACCCACAGGTGGAGAGCGACAACTTCAATGATTTTGCTTTCCCTGGCGAAAATATTAGACAAGTGTCATTTCCTCTGATAGTCCTGAGACTAAGTTTCTAGACTGCATTTTATGAGTCAGAGATTTAAAACTAAAATTCTGCACCTTATTTATCAGATATAGAAAAATATATTATCTTGTTATCTAGCTCCTTTAAATCTTAATGTTTCTAATTTTTATTTTGAGATTACAGATTTTTCTCATAAAGAAATACTCAGCTACTATTCTAGGGCCCTTTAACAACCAATACCATAAGTATGAAGCAGCAAGGAGCACAATGTAAGTCTCCATCTTTGTCTCTTTCACATTTGCTTTTTCAGTGGAACTGAGAAAGCCAGAGTCTTGTCCTGTCCTGCCCTTCCCTCTAGCCCCACCCCCGCTCCCCCAGTTAGTCAGGGAAAGTCAGGATAGGGCCTGGTGCCCATGGAGCCCCATGGTCTCCTGGTCCCCACACCAACTGTCTCCTAGGCAGCTCCCTAGCTGTGTTCTCCAGCTCTGCAGAGCTGGAGAGAATTGAATTTGCTTCCACTTAGTTCCCAGTGGGTTGTCATGCTCCCTGTGGGTCCTCAATAAATACTTACTAAATTGAATATTGCCCTGTTATCTCCCCCCCTCCTTGGTTCTCAGGTCATCCAGTCTCTGATTCTTTATTCTTGTAGTTCTCAATTCCTCTTGCTTTTGTCACACACACACACACACACACACACACACACACACACACACGCACGCACACACATGCATGCGCACACATGCACGCGCACACATACAGACACACAATGCACGCATATGCACGCATACACACACGCACACGCGCACACACACACGCACGCACACATGCATGCAGGCACACAGGCATGCATTCAAGCACGCACACATCTTTCTTTTGTTCCCTTCTGGAATCATTGCATTTTCCCAAGAAACTTGATGATGCACTAGTAATGGGAGGACGACTACAGGAACAGAGACTCAGGGACTGGCTGACCTGAGAAACAGAGAGCAGGAGGTAGCAGGACAATATATTGTATATTCCGAATAATCTATTTCATATTTTCTTGGAAACAGTTTTTAATCTTCAATTTTTTCCTGGAGTCTCCAGGAAATGTGAAGTGCTCTCTCTTCCCCACATACCGTCGTCACAAGTCAAGCACTGGGCCGCAAGGTCTGTCGTCCTCTGTGCTTTCTGCTCAGCTTCTGCCCAGACGGATTGCATTCCTCCCTGCTGGGACAGCAGGCACACTGAGCCCACAGGGAATACCCCGCCTCTCCTTCCTCTACTGTTTTAAACTCCACTCCGGTTTTTTTGGCCTGAGATGCTGGCACAGGAACACGGTTACAAAATCCTTGGAGCCTTGTGCTTCTCCCCCCCCCCCACCTCCTGTGCCTTGATTTCTTAAGGACTGAAATGGGTGTGGTGCTCTTGACTCCCTCCAGCTACCATCTGCTGAACTCGGGAAGAGAGCGATGGCCCTGCACTTCACTGTGTTGCCCCTAAATAAGCATTTGTGCCTAGGAAGGTAATGACCTAAATGGCACTAAGGGCTGAGGGTGTCGTGTATGTCCAGGAGGTATCACCTCTGATGTCTTTAGGAGACACATGCGGCCCGAGTGCTTTATCCCAGTAATGCATCTTGTTTAATTCACTGTGTATACATGTTTATGTATGTTCAGTTATACACGTGTGTTCATGTGTTTGGGGACCAGAGAACAACCTCAGGTATCTTTCTCAGGAGCCATTCACTTCGGTTTTTGAGACACGGCCTCTCACTGGTCTTGAGGTTGACTTGCTGCCTAGCAAACCCCAAGGCTCTGCCCATCTCCCTCTCAGGACTGGGATGACAAGCGTGTACCGTGATGTCCAACTTTTTTGGGTGGGTTCTGGGCACTGACTGCGGGTTCTAAGGTCACTGTCGTGGCTTCCTGGTAGTTGAGAAAAGAGGCTGGAGAACTCAAGTGGCACATACCCAACAGCAACACCACACTTGTTAAATGTGAGTGTTTTATGTTCTCAAGGGCAGTGTTTATGCCTCGAAAAAAACTCTTCAAGGTTATTTTGGTATAAAACGTTTCTCATGTTTATGCATTAGTTTGTGGTTATTATTAACACATTCATAAATTAGAAAATTTACAATTACTTTGGGGTAATTCTTTTAATTTACAGTCCAACTTAATTGAGTCCCTTAATATTTAACCACCTTCATTAATGTAATTTATGTTTGTTTCTTTTTTTAAGTGCATCAATCATCTGATTTAGCAGACCTCTTAAGACTTTCTTATTCTCATAAACCTGGTAAATGAACTTACGGTGTGTTAGAACTCAGATTCTCATCAGTGTTCTGAGTAAGATTTCTGTCTGAGGTTGTAATTCTAAAACAACTACTCAACTGAACAGTTAAACTTAGAGCTGCAAAGCTGGCTGTCCTAAAAGTCTGGAGTTTTCACAAATATTCTTAAAAATTAAAACTGTAGGTGAGCACACCTTCCTAAATACAAATATTTCAGAATCACCACATGGACGCTTGGATTCTCAATATGTAATAGTAATTATATATTGTTATATATGTCATCAGCATAAGAAGACAAATTCTACCATCCAGGGTGACCGTTTCCTTTGCAGGGCTGGCACCCTTGAGTAGTGCTGCTGGGTCTCAGGGAGTGACTGTCACCTGAGCCGTATGGCTGAGTAAAGACCATTGGAGAGTCAGTCACCTGGCCTGCGTCACCGTCCAGTTCTCTCTGCTGTAGGCAGAGTGTGTGAGCATGAGGGTCTCTCAGGTCAGTGGTAATTACATTATTTTTTCAGAGGAATTTTCCACATACAATCGAAGCTCCTAATCGAATTGGTTTGGGGTTAATCCTGATGGCAGATTAACCTGGAGTCTAGCCTCAAACAGGTGAGGCTTTAAAAGAGACTAAGAAGGAGCCAGGGACTGAGGTGGAGCCTTCTGCTGCCCTCACGTGATGGTGATGACATCACAGCTGACTGTACTCTGGGTTCCCGCCTCGTGAGAACCTGAGCAGAGAACCTGCCGACCCCAATATGCACTTCATGAGGTTTTAAAGTCCAGGCACTGTAAGTTCCTGGGCTGTGGTGGTCTTCTAGAAAGTAGTAGAAACCACGTACACTCCCAGCCTGGGGTGTTCTCACCGCTGCCGTTGAACTCCACTGTGCTGGGAGTTCTGTAGAACTCTGTTTAGAAATTCTCCACCTGTAGAGGCAGCACCATCCTGCTCCTAAGCTCTTACCAGTAGGGACTGGAAGCCTCTCTCCATCCAGGCCCCCGCGTTCCTCTACATATTAAGGATGTCACATGGAACTCTGTGTCTCTCATCACTGTATTTAGCTCTCCTGAGGTCATTTTCCAGGAACTGTGGAGCCCAGTCAGCCTGATTCTGAAGAACCAGACTCCACTTTGAGTGACAGAAGTCGGTCAGTCCCTTTCCTGTGAGGGGATTGGGAAGCTCCTCTGCCTGTGTTTCTGTGCTCCCCGGCAGCTTTGCCGAAGCAACAGGATGCTGACATTATCACTCACCTGCTCCAGTAAGGAGTCTCACGTTTCATGAAAGGATTTGAGACATTTCATCAAGTCCAGTTCATCAAACCTAATGACAGTTAAACCATACATATGCATACCAGTGAAGACTATTTCTGTTCTGTGAGACTTTATGTTCAGATTGGAAATAAACTTTTAGATGCAAAGCTATGTGTTTAGTATGCATCTCTAGCAGGGGCACCCTCGGCGTGTGACTGGCAGGAAGCTTCGATTCTCAGGCCCTAAGGGCTCCTGACATTTTCAGGAACAGCTCTAGTTTATTTTCTTTCCATTCAACACTCTGCTCTAATATGATAGATGGTTTATTATTTTTGTCCATACTTTCTAATGAAGTGTCTAAATAATTTCTCTGTATATTTAAATTTTCAAATTCTTGAGATCTTATAAACCAGAATAAAAAGAATCTGTTTTACATGTGGACTGGCTGATTTATATAATCTATCATGTTCTAGCTGGGTGGCTATGTTATTTCGTAATGTTTCAAAACTTATATTCAAGAACAAACTATAGACTGGTATGTAAACAAGAGCAGAGATCAGAGAAATAGTTTCTTTCCTTTGGACAGAAGATTCTATTCCGTCTTACCAACTTAAAATGAATGTGTGAAAGGCAGCTTCCGGCGGTTTTAAACCAACTGGGAAACAGTGAAGTGGTCCAGCCTCTCTATTCGGTGCTGTGGGTGTGGACAGTTTGAAAATCAAAAGAACCAGCGCACGCAGCAGGCAGGACCAAGCAGCCTTTTCCAGGCTGTGCTTCCGGGAAGCCAAGAGTGCCCCACAGTTCTCTGGAAGTTGCAGGAATCCTAGATACAGTACAGGAGGCTCCCCTTAGTCAAGAGGGACAAGGAAAACCCAGACCAGGTGGGTGGTGCTTTGCATGGGGACACATAAAAAAAGATTTAATGATCTGGAAAAAAAAATAAAGAAGCTTTGTGCGGATGCAGTTCTAGCCTCTGCTAGTGGTGGTCTCTTCTCCTGTGGTTCCTGCTCCATCCTTTTCTTCGTGGAGTTACAATGTGTTAGCAGTCTCTGATGTTTTGGTGAAAACAAGTTCAGATAGCAAACTGCCCGCTCTTTAACCTCTTTTGAAAGGCACCTGTGAAGTCTCCTCTCCTTGGGATCGATTTGCTGTCTGTTGGGATTCACCTTTCATCCTATTCGTCATAGATGCTTTCCTGTCCATCCCAGAATGCTCCTTTCTCACTCTCACTGTGTATGAAACATTCATGGATTCTTCACCTCTTTGGGAAACCTCATTTGAGGCTTCTGTGGTGCTTCATTCAGTCGGCTCAAGCTGATCCTTTTTCCCTTGGCCGGAGGACAGAAGGAAAGGAATGTAGGCCTTCCTTCCCCTCAGTGAACATCCTACACATACCTGCACCAGAGTCCTAAGGGCGGCTTCCTCTGCACACACACAGGGCATCTGTCTGTCACTTTTTCTCCTTTTGGCCTTCCTTAGGACAGCCTTGCCACAGGAATGCTCTTATATCATCTTACCAGTAGCAATAGTAGATGCTAAGTGGGCTTCATTGTGGAGCCCCTGCAGGTGTCATACAGAAATGAACCCCATAAAGAGATAAGAATGAAGACCCAGTGCAGATTGACCTTGTCAGCCAGCTCAGACCTTAGGGAGTCTAACACCAGGTGATTCATTGTCAGCTGTGACAGACTTACAGAGTCAATCAGCTGTGACAGACCTACAGTCAGCTGACACAGACCTACAGTCATCTGTGACAGACCTACAGTCAGCTGACACAGACCTACAGTCATCTGTGACAGACCTACAGTCAGCTGTGACAGACCTACAGTCAGCTGTGACAGACCTACAGTCAGCTGTGACAGACCTACAGTCAGTCAGCTGTGACAGACCTACAGTCAGTCAGCTGTGACAGACCTACAGTCAGCTGACACAGACCTACAGTCAGCTGTGACAGACCTACCGTCAGCTGTGACAGACCTACAGTCAGCTGACACAGACCTACAGTCAGCTGTGACAGACCTACCGTCAGCTGTGACAGACCTACAGTCTGATATGACAGACCTACAGTCAGCTGACAGACACTGTCAGATGTGGTAACCAGATGCCCGTTAGGGCCCTCAGGGCTGATGTTCCTCTACTCTCTTTCCCTTTTGTTTTGTTTCTGTGTCTATGTGTGTTGTTTTTATTTTTTGTAGATGTTCTCTTACTCTCATCCTCTAGTTAACTGACAAATATGAATATTAAGAAGACAAGAAAACAAAAGCCTCTCCATTTTTTAAATTCAGTCACACCCACAGTGGTCTGTGATCACCCACATGAAGGAATGGTCTCCTGGAGTGGGGCTGTGTGCTTGGCACAGCCTCCTTGTTTGGGTCCTTGCAGGCTTGCACAGCATTCTTTAGCTCTAACTACAGCAGCCATAAAAATAGCAAGGACGGAGCCCAAGAAAGGGACAGTGCAACCTTACACCTATGTTAGATTCCCAAAGGAAATCGCAGGAGATCCAGGTACTTCGCAGATGCCTTATTCAACATGGAAAATGGTGTACAGGAGGCGGACAGGGCAGGCAGTTGCAGCCTGAGTCTTGGGAAAGGGCCTCTGAGTGGCAGCTCGCAGGGGCACTGACGCATGTTGTATACTCTGTGACTCAAAATCCCACTCAATGAGAAGGGAAAATCAAAACCGACAAGTGTCAGTGCTCACAAGAGCTTCCTAGGCCAGGCGCTCTTTCTCAAATCATCTACGAATAATTTGGGGTCCACTTTAGTGTGTGTGACCTTCAGGATAGGTTAAAGCTTGGATTTGAAGTGTCCCCTAAAGCTGATGGGTTAAAGGCCTGCTCCCTGGCTTGGGGTCCCGAAGTACCTGGGTCACAGGGGTGCCAATACCTCCGGCACTTTGCTTTAGTGGATTCTGGGGCTGTGCCCTTAAAGGCAATATCCAGCTCTTCTACGGCTTCCTGTCTCCCGTGAGGTGAGAGGCCAGCCTCTGCCTTGTCTTCCTGCAGCCCTGACGTGCTTGTCACGGGCCCAAAACATGGAGCCAGTCAATGTCCAGCTGAACCCACAAGTGCCAGCCCCCACCCCCATGCCGCTCCCCACGAGGAGCTGATTTTGTTGGGTATTTTGCGCAGCAGCAAGGCTGTGCAAATAAATGCTCAGAGGCGAGGCAGCAAGCGTGAGTTTCTGGGGAAGAAGTCTCGGGGAAGACAGACTTGCACTTTATTCTCAACGCCGTCACTCGTAGGTTGCGGCTGGGCTGTGTCACACCTACGGTGTTTCTGATAATCCACAGGTTTGAGTAAGATAAGCGCCCCACACAGTGCCCGCCACAGAAGGACACCAGGTGCAGATGGTTTCCACTTGCTGACGTGTGTTTAGCACACCTGCACTAGATCTGATTAGCGCTGAGGGAGAAGGCTCCAACTGGGAGCGAAGGACGTGTATACGGGTTCCAAGCAAAGGTACATTCTTACTCTAGTTTTCTCCTGCTGCAAGCTGCAGCCTCCCTGGATGGAGTTCACCTTTGTGTCTTTCTAGCAGGCAGCAGATCCTGAAATCAACATTGGTGAGAGTTTGACTTTAAATAACGATCTCTTCCTGGTGAACAAAGAACAGAGTCAAGCCTCCCAAGCATCTCCACTACGAGCTCAAGCCCACAGCTTCTCAGACTGTGGTCTGCTTTGCATTCCGTGATGCAGTGCAGTGACCCGAGGGTAGGAGCTGGTGGTTTCACCACCGTGTGGTAGATTCCTTAAATGCTGAGCAATCTTCATGACAGCCTGTGAGTAGCTCAGATGCTGGGCTAAGTCGTGGCTTAAGCAGAGCCAGGAGTTCCGGGATGCACAGCCATTTTCTCCCCAGCCTCCAGCTCTGCCTGGCTTCAATGTAAGCTCGAAGTGGTAATGAAGGAGTTGAAGAGGCCTGGGTTCAGGGAACGGCAGTGCAGGCCCACATGGATCTGCTGCATATACACTGTTTTCTTGTGGTTGATGATGAGGGCTGTCTCCAGCCTGCCTGATTTAGCAGGTGACAAGACCACAGAGAGAAACCAAAATTTTAATTTTTTTATTTAAATAACATTTTTTTCATTTATTTTCTATACCAACCAGTTTCCCCTCCCTCCCACCCTTTTTCTTTCCCATCTACCCCCCCAAATCCTCTACTCCTCCATCTCATTTAGAAAGGGGCAGGCCTCCCACAAGCTTGCACAAAGCATGGTGCATCAAGTTGATACAGGGCAGAGCTCCTCCCCTTATGTCTAGGTGGGGCAAGGCAATCCAGCATGGGAAACAGGTTGCCAACCACTAGCTAAGCACCAGGGAGAGGCCCTGCTCCCACTGTTAGAAGCCTTGCTAAGAGACCAAGCTCCAGGATTGTCACACACATGCAGAAGACCTAGGTCGGTCCTGTGCAGGCTCCCTGACTGTTGGTCCAGTGTATGTGACCTCCCACGAGCGCGGGTCCACTGGCTCTGTTGTTTCTCCCACCATGGTCCCCTGGCTCATACAGTCCTTCCTCCCTTTCTTCCACAGGACTCTCAGAGCTCAGAGCAGTGCTTGTCCGGAGAAACCAATATTTTAATAATAGTTTAATCCAGCTGGGTGCAGTGATATGTGTATAGTCTAAGCACTTGGGGGGTGAAGGAAGGAGGATCTCAGGGTTGTCTTTGACTACATAGAAAGCCCGAATCCAGACTGGGCTACTCTAGACCCTAGAAAAATGGTAATTGTGGTGGTTTGAAAGAAGATGACCCCAAAGGGAGTGGCACTATTAGGAGGCGCGGCCTTGTCAAAGCAGGTGTGGTCTTGTTGGAGGAAGTGCGTCACTGTGGAGGTGGACTTTGTGGTCTTGTGTATGCTCAAGCCACATCCAGTGTCTCCGTCCACTTCCTGTTGCCTTCTCATCAAGATGTAGCCAGCACCATGTCTGCCTGCACACCGCCATTCTCCCCATGATAGACTAAACCTCTGAACTATGAGCTGTCACCTCAACTAAATGTTTTCCTTTTAGAGTTGTTGTGATCATGGTGTCTCTTCACAGCAATAGAAATCCTAAGACAATGATGATGATGATGATAACAGCTTAATTTAGCATCATGTGTTTCCACATCAGTGTTTGTATCCAGTGGCTTTTGCAGATACGTGAAATGCTTTGTGCATGACTAAGAACTAATCTCTAAGTAGTCAGTACTTTCTCATGAATAATTAAAATTTTATTGTATAAAGTATTAAAATAATTCAAGGAAAACTTTTAAGAACTACTGTTTCAATAAAATTCTTTAACTGTTCCCAAATCCCCTTGATTCTGGATACAAAAAGACTACAGAAGGCAAATTTGATGATCCCTAGTATTTGAATAGTATTTTCTATGTTCTTCAAATCTCTTAAGTCTAACAGTTTTGTTCTTAA